TGTTCACAGCTCCTAAGGTATGGTTCTTGGAAACGAGAAAGGCACTTGAAAGCAATAGTACACAGCACGCGAATATCAATGCCAAGAGCTTTGGTTAAGGACCAGCTGGTAGAACAAATTCTCGTGAATCTAAGTGGCTGTCCTTCTTTTTTTTATCTGGATGGTTGTTTATTTTGTTTTATTGGTCCAAGATGCTGTCCCGGATGCGTTAATGTTGGCAGCTAACTTACATCCTTCTGATATCTGAATTAAAGAAAGAATTCAGCAAGATTATTTAAGAGGAACTTTTTTTCCAAAATCGTTTCTTTGAAATAATTTGTAATCTGTAATAAGCCACAGGTATATAGATAGTAGAGCTTTATATATATTTCACTTCCTGGATTATAACTGATATTAACCTATATAACTGTTTCCAATCTAGTCAATCGGACTAAATATGATAAATCAAAATATCAAATAGGCTAATACACTGACCATCAGGAAAGCTGATGTCGAAGTGAGTTTTTAGATTGTTTGTAATCTGGTGATAAATATGATTTCAATTTATATGGGAAAGGTAAACCTTAGTGCAAATCCCAAATGAAGAAAGTGTATCATAATTATTCGTTTTTATGCTCCTTTTTATTCTTAATCAGAATACAGATAGTTCAAAGCAAACTGAAATGGAGTGTCAATTGATCTTCTCTGTTTCTTTTTCCAGCTGTCAAGAAATCTGTAACTTGCAATAAGAGTAGCCTAGTTCAGGAATACATAGCGAGATATGAGAGTTGGCATGCTGAGAATTATACATATAATTATGAGAAGAATATATATTATGACCATTAAATATTCTTCTGTAACCCGATACCTTGATCAATTCTCTTGTGGAATGTTCCTGGTAATTAATAAGGTCTTGAGAATGAGGAAGTGAAATCCTGTCACCTTCCCTCGGGGCAACAACATAATCATAATCTAATTATAATCTTTCTTGAACTTGTCATGGATTCCGAGAAGCTAATTTGTTTTTGAGAGTGAGTTGGCAATTTAATTGTCCAAGATTTGCCCATTGGCTTAGCCTCAAGATTTCAATTATCACCAACAATCATTACTGTGAATTTTAAATAATGTCTACAAACAAACTTGATGGTAATGTCACAAGTGATCAACATGTTTACTATCTGTCAAGGACACATGGCGAAATGCCACCCCTACCAACTTGTCCCATCATTTCAGAAACAGCTGCTGCCATTAAGTTCCCAATAACCAACGTGCCCCTATCCGAAAAGGGCCATATTTTATTTTCTTGGAGGTTAATGTCTTTGGCGAAATACAAGCTTGTCTCATTTAATCATAAAACAAAAAAAACAGCAGAAGCTATGTAAGTTTAATCCAAACTGGTAATGAACCGCCTGTCGACATACCATCTTTTCAACTTGTTCCATCAATTCAGAAACAACAGCCACCCTAATTAGATCTTTACTGTCGATCCTCATGGCGACAAAACAACTTGTCCGAATCAAAAAAATAACAGTTGCCTGAACTAGTTTTTTTGTGGCGAACCTCTATGCTACATACCAACCCTTTTTTCCCATTATTCCTAAAACAGGAGTTGCCATAGCTAAGTTCTATCTTTTAGGTGGTTAGTGTCTTTGGCGACATACAAGCTTGTCTTTAAAAAAAAAGCAATGTCGCTCCCAGGAATTTTAAATTTGTGGTTTACATGTTTGCGACATACCAGTGTGTCCAATCAATTCCAAATTCAGGCAGCAACACTAATACTGTGCCCCTAAAGCATTGTTAATAACCCGACATCAAGTTGGTGCAAATCCAATGGCGGCGTTCCATGTCAGATTTTCTATAGACTAAATTACTACCAAAAATTATTACCCCTGATAAATTTATTAGTGCCTATATATATTTACATAATATACTTATACAACTTTTATTACTTGGTCATTAAGTGAAAAGAAATGATGTGGAATTTCAAGTCCCATTATTCAATATATAGAACAAATCTGTTAGGATCGTCAAGGGAATACCAAGTAGTCTTTGAAATTATAGACCTAACGTTCTTCTGAACTAAATATGTTCTTCTTGCCAATAAAATAAAACTTTCATTACCTAAAGCTAGAGAGAAACTATAAAATAACGATAATATCTTATAGCTTATTGATGTATTGTTATCTAGAAGACTTATACTATCATGTATAACAATGAAGAAGTTCTAAATGACACTGGGTTAGTGTAGGGTTTCATACATCAGATACTCGTAATCAGTTGATGGAAAGTGATCCTCTAATTGTTCGATTAATCATTTGATAGAACTCTCGTCGTCTAAAATCAAATCTCCATCTAAATTTGCAATCCGTAAGCAAAAGTCAAGAAGTTACTGTCCGTTCTATTTGGCATCCACAAATACATATACCTACATGGACAATTTTATATACTTGAATTCTTAACCAATTGTTTACATGTCAAAGTAAAATTATATGAACTAAAATGGAATTGAGTTTGAATAAAACTTCAGTTTACAGATATTAAAAGATTTATCGATACAGACCAGACATTAGCCTTGGTTTTCTAAAAGTAATTCCAAGAAAGTTTTTGTCCTAGATCTATACTTTCAAGGTAATTCGATTAATCATTACTATTCTTTTGTCTTACAATTTTAGTACCGTTTCATTATTCTAATAGTTTCCTAGGGTCGACAACTATAGTGATAATGTTCATATAATATTCAGTGTTTTTACATCTAGAAACTTAATGTAATAACGCCAACATATGATTCTTGTAATTATTGTCACATTATCGCTTTGGAATCGAAATGTTGTCATATCTGAAATATAATATATTCGTCTAGGGATTGTGTTGGCGCGTCCAACCGCTGGCAAACCAGAAAGCTTTTTAATTGCACGCTTTTTATCAGGAACGGAATGTTTATTGTGTATAATCGTCCACTATATTCATTGTAATTCATTGTAGTTTTGTTATACTCATATAATCATTTACAGTCTAACCTTGGCATAGATCTCTTCAAAAGAACAACCATTTCGCACGTATTTCAATCGTTATCTATAAGTCGAAGTCCCAAAACCTATCAAATCATAAAATATTTTCAATACCTACAAGGGTCTGAAATTTAGTTACTTCAATTTCAACTGAGATTTGGCATAAACGAAAGTTTTATAACATTAAGAAAGTTTAATGCTTTCATATTAAATAGTCTTCATGCAATGGATCAGAAATGTCCAAAAGACAATAGAATAATACCACTTTCATGCATTAATTTTGAAACATGCCTTTTTTATCTCCATTTAAAAATTATATTACCTAAAAGAAAACTGTAAAACATTTTTATTTCGACGCATTGTCCCATTAAAGTGGCTGCCAAAAGGACATCAATTTATAATGTATTCCAGAATTTCGCAATAAGTGAATCATTGAGGCGATATAATATGTCTGGATGGAAAGGTTGTAAAATCATAACAGAAAGATATAATAGCTGAATGTAGCATAACTACAATAAAATAACATATTAACATTGCATGTCCTGCTGAGCTTCCCTCTTGGCATTCATACACGATCGCCTGAAAATATATGACATTCCTGATAATGACAAACTGATTTTTCTATTGACGAGCATCAGATACTGTCACTTGGGTGTAGCGAATGCATGTATTCCAGCGGGTCTAAGTTGTTCAAATACATAAGTATATAGCTATAAGTCTGCTCCGCTGATCTAACCTCGTGTCTTCTTATTCTTCGAATAATAATATGTAATATTCCCAATAATGACAAGCCGATTTCAATTGGCGAATGGATCTGGTTCAGCATTTATATAATCAGATTATGAAGTGTAACAAATGCTGGTTGTTCTTCTTTGATGGACAATAATAATTGAAAGTAGGAAAATCATTCAATGCTCTACTGATCTAACTTCATGGGATCGCCTGAAAATATAAGACGCTCCCAATAATGAATGCTTACCTGATTTCTTTTCTATAGAACTGGTTCAGCAATTATTTCATCAGATTCAAGTGAAAGAAATGCATGTATTCCATTGGGTTCTATTTAAATAAATAATTTAGAATAATCATTCTATGCTGTGCTGATCTTAACACTTGACATTCATGTAACATCGTTTAAAAATATGCGATATACTAATGATAACTGACAAGTTGATTTTGCTTCTATTAAATGCTATTAAAATGATATTATAAACTACATTATATAAAAAATGAATGTGATTTTCTCATTAAACATCCTAAGATAGTGGGCGAAGATGTCAATGTACCCTAATGAAAACACATCGATTGTAAATACATGTAACTTTCATTTCGAAATAAGTGTCTATTGTCTTCAAAGATCCTGTCGTATCAAAACAACCAAATCGGATTGGCCTTATTGGTTCTAATACAGTATAGTTTAACTACCATAGGGACTAGTTGAACCAAGTCCACGGGCACCCACTCCTAAGGGGACATCCACCCCCAGAAATCTAAAAAATATCTAAAAGGTTAACATACAATATTACATGGTTGACAACTTTTGTTGAGGCTCTACCAAGGGCAATACTGTGTCTCTTTTTTTTTAAAACATTCCCAAGGGAAGGTCCCAAACCCACTTGAGTCCACGAGCCCCACTCGTCTAGATCAGCCACTGTTCTAATACCATTGTTGTCCTTGTGATTTTAAATGCACAATATAAGTGAAAACTTTCTAGGCTTCTGAATTTATAAGGCTTAACGCAAAACCACCACGTAATTCAATCTTTTATAGATGTGTTCATTGACTAATCCTTTTAGGAGTCTAGATGATATAAATAAACCAACACAAGCTAAGCTTTATTGACAATTTGAAAAATATTATAACAAAAAGATGTTATGGCCCCTCAACTTTGTCAATGTGTAAAGATGAAATGTTCAAAAACGTTATCATGATTTCACGGCAAATTAAAAACCATTTTAAAGGCACTTTTGATATTGAGATAATACAGAATATTGTCTATCAGGGAATGTTACTTTAAGTATATGGACGTCTCGACAATAAATTCGGTGAATTTCCTTTAACTATTTGTGATAAATGTCTTGTATTTGGATTACCACTAGTCCTTGGAGAATGAATACACTTTGACGATGTCAATTCTAACCGCGAGAAAATGACATCGTTGGTCTGTATATCTGTCAGGCTTGATGGACGGGGTGTACTCTTTCTAAATTGTTTTGATTGTTTGGAGAGATCACGTGAAAAAGATAACGAAGGCAATCGCTGATGGTTGAGATTGTTAATGGATGATTGCGTATCAAGGGGCGAGGAACTTTGGTTAATAGGTCGTTGTCTTATTGACCGGAAGTCAAGATGGAGGTTAGGTATGTCCGGTTGATTCCGCTTGACCCTCTTCTTCAACAAAGAAGGCTTGTTTAACCTTGTTGCGTTTGATGATTTATTATTAGATTGTGCTGTCAAGCCGCTTAAATCAAAAGCTGGCATGCTTTTCGTATTTTGATTACTTGTCAAACCACTTACATCAAAAGTTGACTGGATCTTCGTATTCTGATTACCCTTCTTATTCGACCTCTTAGTTTTCGGTTCATTATTGGTTGATCTACTCTCGAAATTGAATTGGATCTTCTGGTCAGGAATTTTTACGTCTGATTTATAATTGCTTAACGTCTGTGAAACTGGAGTGTGTTCGATAATTTCAATATTCTCCCGCCTTAATAAGACTATCGTATCTCGTAATTCATTCACGTCGTGTTTCAGCATAGATGAGCTAAGTTCTTGAGATCTAGCTCGAACCCTCCACGTTTGTACATCTCTCTCTAATTGGTGAATTTTATTATTTAATTCCACTATAGTATCCAAACTATTTTCATATTTCTCGGTCAAATCTTCAATATACCTTTAATTAGAAAAAAAAACGAGTGAAACTTTTCCTTGAGGGATTTCGTGATATGTTTAATTCATCTATTTCATGAAAAACTTGGCCAAATCATTACAATATTTTTAATAAAACTTGGTTAAGATGTGTTCTGGTATGTACACTGTATACTTATGCCGAATTCCGTCTTGTATATCCAGAAACATGACCGAAGACTACATTATTGCAAATACAAAATGGAAATTGTTTCTTGAAATTTGTTCTCCGTATTCTTAGGAGATCAGAGAACCCCTTGCTTTCCCTTTAATATTAATGTATTAAGATTGCTTTTATCTCTCTCTCTCTCTCTCTCTCTCTCTCTCTCTCTCTGCATTGTATAGGTTAATATGACACCTGCACTATGGTCAATTAATTGCTGTAACGTTCTAAATTAAGAAAAGCCCATATTTGACCATTAGAGCTCAAGGCGGTTGGTATAACTTAGGCTTTCAGGATAATGGATCATTAGATTTTGGATGGAAATGTGTCAAATTCAAATGACGTCTTTTAAAGAAGAATTAGAATTAAATTTACTTAAGATTTTCCAGTGTCTAGACACTAACAACCTTTTAATTAGATAATTTAAATTCAAATTGACTTATTGACGTAAACATCATCTGATATACCGATTATGTCTTATTAACTTTTGTGAAAATTGGAAAATTGTTGTGTCCCAGTGCCTGTACAGCCTGAAAACATGTCAGATGGAAATCTCAATATGGTCCTCGAACGAAAAGACAAAGTATGTCCCAATAACTAAAAGACTGTTCAGAGGAAGGTTAAGGGTGCTTTTGGTGTGCAGTGGAGAACTCATGTGAAAACTTGTTTGTGGCAGTTTAGGCTTAATGAGAATTAGTTCATGGCACTGAGGTTTTTTTCTTAGTATGAAATAGATTAATAACACCATATTATATTTCAATGGTTTAGGGTTGAAGTATTCACAATAAGTATAGCTTGGTACAACAACAACTTTCTGTTAGAAATAATCTAGAAAATATTACCTATTCTGTATATGAATATGACTCTTCATATCTTTTATATTTCCTTTTAGTTCTTTGATATACTCCGTCACGTCATCACCTACATTTTGCAAACTGGGTTCTGAAATGTGGTAAAGTATGATGAAAATATCTACTGATCTTTCACAAGACTATTACATATCTCATATCACCATATAAAGTTGATTACGTCGATGGATTTTTTCTTTCAGTTATTCTTTCAGAAGTAGTTATTTCATAATAGCACAAAAACTATTTATCATTTTAATCTGATGTTCTGAAGTCCACGGTGAATTTAGATTCCGAGTACGTACCTGATAAATTAATGTAGATATCAGAGGCTGGTGGTGTATTAGGCTCAGAATCTACAATACAAGATAAGTATCATGTCCAGTGGATTTATTTATGTTTTCGAACAGTGTAATGGAGATGGGTGAAATATTTGGGTAGACGAGCTTTTCTATATTATGACTAAGCGAAAAAATGACACGAAATTGCAATGGCATTTCAGGGAATCATTAAGTCACGGGGCCGAATATGGGCCGCCGAAAAATTATCAAAGGGGGCTCGCATGATGTTGTTCACTCATATAAAATGATAAGAATTTTGAAAATAGTGGGCTGGGGCAACCTTGGAGCACTTTCTTAATTTTAAGCGGACTTGTTGTAGGACTTACATGTTAGGATGGGAGTTGATGCCAAACTATTTGCTTCACTTCGTTCTTTTATAGTACTCATGATAGTAATTTCTGGTAAATAGTTAAAATAAAACACCCTCTCCATTCTAAAACAGAGACACATAAATCTACGTGGAAGATACGTTTGGCTTTTCTGATACCATCTGAAGTTCTTTTGGTGGTTTCTGGTCTCAAACTGGTCAGAAGAGGGGGGCAGTTCGCATTTGGCAGGTAGACAACTGGGGTGGTCCATTTTTAATGTTAACTTTCGATGTCTACCACCATGTAGATTTTACGTCAAATTTCTACCTTTGATATCTTTGTTACAAAATTCCCTAATTTTCCAACTCTTTTTGCCTATAAATGAATTAAATCTTAAAGACCGTTTACCTGATGCCACTCACAGACTGAGCTTGACAATTTAAGAGTGTCCACATAGCCATTTTAATAAAAGGTATAAGATAATTAATATAACTCACCGTTTGAATATGCATTGTTAAGTTTGGCGAAGTCGCCAATAACAACATAACTAAATGTAAGCTGCTCAGCTGGGAACATCTAGTCTATGTCATGTTGAAAATAAATTTAAAAATTGAGATTAGATATCTGTATAATTTATTTGTTATTCGATGTTTTCTCGCTATTTAATCGGATTAGTCGTGTTGACAAGCTCTTCAGTATCTCTCCGACCAGTTATCTACAATCACCACCTTTCATTTTATAACGCCTTTTATACTTTAATGAACATTTTTGATACATTTTGCGGTCGCACCAGCTTCTAGTAGGTAAGACGTTGCATCGAAAGAAAACCATTAGATAATTAAAAAAATACCAAAATATTGCATTCAAATCAGTTGAAATTGAACATTTCGGAATCATGGATTGGAATTTTCAGGCTTTAAGGTAGGCTATTGGAACGTTTTTCGGAAACTTTTCGTCAAAGTACTGCTTGGTCCTTGCTTTTGAATAAAATATCATGTCATGGAACCCATAGACATTTAGAAAAGAGTAAGTTCGTTATATTGTATATTCAAGGCCTATTTCGTTTGTTAATAAGTCATTGTGTTCAGAATGTGTTTGTGAAATATATATATGATATGCAAACGATGATATAAGAGGGTTTTGTAATGGAAGATAATCTATAGATTTCACTGCCTTTTTGACAGTCTATAACGAATGATTTCAACACTGTCTTATCGGGTGTCAATTGACATAACTTATTCTTGAAGTGAAAGAGTCATCATATTATGAACTTTCATTTCAAATTTCAGATCCAGTGTTAGAATGATGGCAATCAAATATTAAAATCAACGAAATGACTCGTTGGATGAATTCTATGAAGCAGATTGAATGCCCAGTCTTTCAATTCAAATTTGAATATATCAGAAAAAAAAGTTTGAGATGAAATTCATCTCACGTCTGAAGCATATAATATAAATTCGTTTTATCTATGATCGATTTTGAACTTTTGCATTAATATTGATATGAGAGTTAAAAGCAATCAGCAAAATTAAAATACATGGACTGACATAGACGAGGGAACAGGTAACAAAATTCAATGAATGCACTTTGGTCTGGGCGCCCAGGTCAGTGCCATCTGCTTAAAGTTGTTCTGTTAAGGACCCAATTCAATGATATTCAAAGTCACGATGGGACACAGGCAAAACCATCTCATATTCGTCTTGGATAGGGGCCTATTAGAGTTCCATAAAATGATCAAATCTGTAGATCGTAAAATCGTGTTATATCTTGTCCTTAACTGGTCACACAAATCTATATTGTGCCGTACAGCCTTGTGATGGCTTGCAAATTTTGCTGTGGTATCACGGCACAAAGATAAAACGAGTTATTTCCCATTAATCAGAAAATCTCTTTTTTATGTTTCATGTATAATTTAAATATATGATGAGTGAAAACAAATTTCTGCAATTTGCATAGATTGTAGTCTGTATGCCAATATTTTTTGCAATGAGTATTTTTCGCTTTAATAAATGCTATCATTGTAGATCCATGTTGCTATACTGGTATCCTATACTAACTATGTAGATATCACCACCGTTAAGACATAATTTGTCACGGTGAACTATGCTATCTGTACCAAATAACTTGTATGCAATTTTGCAACATAATGCTTCCTCAGTGTTTGATTCTTACTCACTTCCTGGTAAGACAATGTAAGAACTTTACCATTGAAATTTTGATTCGAAAAAATTTGGTCATTTCACTTCAAATTCAATGCGATAGATGATTCTTCTAAAGTTGTAGGTGAGGTTTCTTGCCGTCTTAATTGTCATGTGGCATGTGCACTCGTAGGGACAGATTTCCTGTCATAATTCGTATGTCTTCGGTTCCAGACTTTATCCGACATTACTCTATTTAGGTGTATATTCAACATACAGTCTGTTACGATTTAAGGTTTATGGATTTATGGAAAGATAGTTTGTAACAGGACATAACATAAAGAAGATAAAGGAAAGGTCAAATGACAATAAGAGGATTGTAAAACCTTGACACAGACAAATAAAATACCTCTATCTGTAGATTTTATTACGGTATTCTGAAATCTCACTTGTTGTTAGAAGACAGTATGCCACAAAGGCAGGAACCTTCGGGCTAACTGTTCTAATGAGACTAACTCAACAGACAGGTGGATTTCCTTATTCATGTATTGGACAGGCCCGTAACTAAAAGAGGGTTGACGTCCTGGAACTATATTCATCCAACTGCAAAATTTGAGAAAATTCTCGATTGAAGCTATTATCAGTCTCTATCAGCTATTGCCCCCATGCAAATGCGACGCCCCCTTGGGCCTTGGCACATTGGACTGGTTATGGGTCTGGTATTGCATTAACTTTTCTTTTGGCCATAATGCCATGGACCAGTATTTCCAATAAAATATTGAGACTCAATCTACTATTAAGAGTTTGATCTCCATCTCTAGCCCACAGTGAAGACATCTGCCCTTGTGACTATGGAATCTAACTAATTAAAGTTTTAACACAATGCTAAATTGATTACATACATTATTTTATTAAATTGTTCAATCCATTACAATATAATAGAAAAGAGTTCAATATATATAATATATGTTATAAAAAAGACCTAATTAGTTGTAGTGCCTTAAAAAATTGAAAATTCCTATTAACATAAATTTCAGTATATTTACAGTAATGAATATTCCTGCAAGCCCAGCCTGGAAGTTCTCTTATTTAACAAAGATAACAGAAGATTATTTTTACTCCAAAAAACTACCTGTTTTAATATTTCTATACCACTCTACCATTGATGTATTGAGCAATATAGTAACAGTGAATATGTTTTATTATTGTATCTCAGACAGATATATTTGATGACTAATTGCCACTTATATAATTAACTGATGCAATAAACACCATGGTTTCAAACCATACACATGAGAGACAACAGAATTGGATTAACAAGGAATTTTTGCCTCAAATTTCACAGAAAAAGTCTACATAACTGAAAAAAAAAGCCAAATCAACATTTGATTTTTTCACTCAGGATCCACAGATATTTTATTTCATGAGAAGAACTGTATTGAGTTAACAAGAAATGAAGTCATCATGTGCAATGTAATCAGGTGATTTCAGTGCATCACATGTATTATAAACTCAATGTAAATCCAGTTTTAATTGTTCTGGTTTAAATTCAATATTTATAAAGTTAGAAGTTGAAAGGTTATAATAATACAGTCAAACTGATAACAAGTTCTATTATGACAGCTATACAGACTCTGTGACTATATGATCTGTGAACAATTCTCTCAATCTGAACTATCCCATTTTGAGAGTCCACATAACTAGTAATATTGTTTCAGAATGTTTTTTTTTTATTGTGGAACTCATACATATTATACACAAATTTGCAGGAACTCTTTGGCTAGGCCTTTATCTAAACTTAACATAATTTCCACCTATTTTCTCATTCTTGACATTAATGACTCAAACAGAACATTACTTAACATTTCAATCAGACATTTCAATAAACGTTTTTAAATTTTGAATTTGTTTTGTTTGGCACTGACAAAATAGCCCTTAATTTTTACAATATGTAATAAAGGCAGTTATAAGCTAAAGATGAAAATGCAGACAAAATGGTTTTAAAACATTTTGTCAGTGATGTTAATGCACAAATAGGTGTTTTATATATAAAAAAAAAGTTTCATCTTGCTTTCTAAACCTGTATACAACCTATCATGAGCTTTCTGAGATTTTAAGCATCAAGCTTTCAAATCTAAAATATGTATATAGCACAATTAACATTAGCATGAAAAATATAAGATTAATATACATGAGTGAAGGTAAAATAAAATAATGCAAAGACAGTACAAAAAATTATACTATGTACAAATATAACATGAAATTCTGTCCAGAAATATGATAAGGCATAACAATGAAATTTTCATGATCTTTGAAATGCATTACATATATTACTGTTATTGTATACACCCTTTGAATATCATTAATACCTAAATGTAAAAGATAAGGTCATAGGTGGATACCTTGTCTCATCCCATATTCAAAACTAGAAATAACATTTCTATGCACTTTTAAAGATAGTGTATCATTTCAACCACTGTCTTAGACTTTGTTGAGAAAAAATTATCCCATCTCCAATTTGACAGATATTATATTTTGTAAACTGATTGAGAATTTCTATAATTCAAATAAATCGGAGCAGTTTCAAATACAAAGAGTATCATTGATAATTTGATATTGACTTATGCCTAGCAGTAGCTGGTTGATATCCATCTCTGAGTTTGGAATTAGATTAAAAAGTTAGCACTAGTATACCTGGAATGTAGCAACATTAAACAGGTAAAGAAAGGGAAAGTTACAGTATATTATAGTCTGTATCAAATAAAACTTTAGGAATGCAAATTGTTTATAAAGATTATATTATTTGGCAGCTAGTATCTCTAGAATATACTTGCCAAAAGTACTAACTAGACTATAGAAATCAGCAAGTAACTTGGAATATATCTAATCAGAGGGGAATAAAATTTCAAGGGTGTTTGCCAGCAAATTATTTACCTTACTTAATCTAATAAAACTGAACAAATATCCTTACCAAAACTTTCAGTTGTATATGCATACACATAATGACAACATTATCCATACACAGAGCCATTTTTAGTAATAATACAATACTGTTATAAATGGCTTAATAATGGGCTTTTCAATGTGATAATCTCAGTTTCTTACAAAACATTTTACTATTCAAATCCAATAAACCAAACATTTTCAAGTCAATGTAAAGAAGGTGAACATGAATCTCAATATCAGATTTTAACTTGTACCTATATTCAAAGTTCGTTTTTTAATAACATTTGAAAATATCTTATGTAGGCTAAAAAGTCTTTAGGCATCAAAAGTAAATTTATCAGTAGACAAAATCGATAGGCCTACAATTATAAAAGACTATAAAACTACGTTACGTGAGGCTCGAGGGCATTGATTACCAATACTATGGTATAACAACCTTATGTTAAACTAATAAATTATGAATGTCAATTGACTCAATTACTTCCTTTCATATACCACCTACCTGAACTTAAATTAAAGATGGGTTTCTTGAAATCCTAAATCCCATAATTTTTTTTTAATGAATGTATTTTATATTCATTTTATGCTGTTACATTGTCTTTCAAGATAAGCAGAATGCTTTACTAACAAAAAGCATATATGAGATGAGATGTAGATAAAAACAGAAACCCATCTTTAACCTATTAATAACCTCAAAGAGATGAAATTACAATTAGCTCACAGGTGATCATATTGATTGATTATTGATTACCAATATACCAAGTTATCCTTAAACCAGGATTAATAATAGAGATAACCAAATTTTAGACAAAACCAGTGAATAAGTGAATACATACATACTTAACAAGCATATTTCCTTAAAAATCTTTCATTTCATGATGCATTGAACAGGGCATTTCAAAATGTAACAAATGTAAGCTTATATCTATTATTATATGAATTACTACTTATGCCCCATGAAAGATATTTAAAAATAGCTAAGTTTACATTCCTCTTCTAAGATACATTTTATCCTATTCTCTTACCATACATCTGTTAGCTATTTATATAACCATGTAGCTCTAACACTGAGCTGAAAATATTACATAACAAAAAATGCATATTCAGCTGTTTTAAGATGAGTTATTTGACATGGAACATATGTATCTGTATTCACTAATTACCTGGATCAAAATTACATTAACATTAAGATTAAACCTTACAACTTAATATGCATTAGTAATGTAAAACTTGTGGACAAGACACATTCCAGATTTAAATTCCTGACAAGGACACCTGTTTTTGGTCAAGATTTTAAACATTAAGCAAAGTAAGCAATTGCTGAACAAGAGCCTTTGAAATATATCTAAGTTGTGTACAAATATTATATGATAAATTTACTAAACATTGGCTTGTTTTGGTATGAAAATTCAGCAGACTTCCTTCAAAATGAGTCAGAATGAATGATCTTAACCCTACCTTAAAAAAGAGAATCAATCCTTAACTTTTGATCTTATATCAATGATCATTAATTAACTTTATTTCAAGGATTAAACTTACTTTCCATGTGTAAAGATAAGGATAATTAACAAAGAAAGCTCTGAACTAAGATCTATCAAAAGGGACACAACCAACTTTACAGATATGTAGCTTTGTGATACATGTAAAGCAAATGATATGTGCAATGATTAAAATCAAAATATGAATATTTTTGAAAAAGTTGATTGAATATTATAAAACACTAACCTACAGCAATAATATTGATATGACCATATATAGTTCAGGTTTATACAGCTAGCTAATTATTTACACGTTTATATAATAAAATAGGATCATCTTATAAAATATTATGATAAATTGTTAATATAATATGATAAATTGATAATAATGATAATGATATAATAATAATGCCTGGTTAATGATAATCATAAGTATCAAAAGTTATGCTGATCTTTTACAAAAAAGACATTCAATAAATTCAGCATGGACTGTTTCTGTAACTTCGCATAAGCGGAACCAAGCAACTAGGTGGACCTGCCTCCCTTAAAAATGGGTGATTCAACAACTCTGGGGCTGAGGCTCTCTGGGAAGCATCTCTGACTAACATTCTATCCAAGAAGCCTTGTAATCTTGGTGAAACTTTATGTGAACTGCGTATTTTGGGTGGCGGCATATCTCGAATTCTTCTCATGGCCTGAAGAGGAGGTTCATTGAAAAATGGTGGCTCACTGTCAACCATTTCTACAACCATAATACCTAAAGACCAGATATCCACTTCAGTCCCGTAAGGTATCCGAGAAATGACTTCTGGAGCCATCCAATATGGAGTACCTACAAGAGATTTCCTTTTCCTCAACTCAGGTGTAACTTGTGCACAGAAACCAAAGTCTGATAATTTCACTTTTCCATCATGTGATAATAAAATAGAGTCTGATTTGATATCACGATGAATAACACCATGAGAGTGAAGGTAGGCCAGTGCTTTCAGACATGCCTTACACACAGTAGCTATCTGCATCTCATCCATTTTACTATGCGTTACAATATCTGTTAAAGCACCACCTTCCATAAACTCCATTACAACCCACAATTCATCATTCACAAGGAAACTGTTATACATATCCACAATGTTGGGATGATGATAGTCTCTCATAACAACCACTTCATTAAATAACAATTCACGTCTCTGCTGTCTTCTTAGATCCATCTTTTTCACTGCCACTTGATTTCCTCTTGATTTATCTGTAGCAATACAAACAATGCCTGTTGATCCTTCACCAATTTTGACAAAATTCTCGAGGAAATTCCTAGGATCTCCAGGTGTAACAACCATTTGTAAAGCTGCTCTAAATTGCTCGTGCGAAAGACGACTTTCTGCTGGGACAGGAGGCTTAGCTGGAGATTTGGCCATCTGCATTGAATTATTAGAATGAGTTGGTGAGCCTGGACCTTGTCTGTCATTATAGCCATATCCAGGTTTCTGCATGTTCTGATACGGTGGTTGATTCGTTCTAGGAGCCGGAGAAGGAGCCTGGTTATTTCTCATATCTCCTCTATATTGATCTCTATCATTTCTATCTCGGTACCTATCCTGGTCACGATGATAAGGATCCCGGCTATCAAAAGAGTTATCTCTGTCAGAATATCCAGACTGATCCCGATCATAAGAATTATTCAATCGATATTGCTGATCCTGATATCTGTCATTTGGTCGAGGAGGATAACCATCATGGTGATCATTATGTTCTGGATAATGATTTTGATAAGGACGATCACGATCTTGGTAGTAATCTCTGTCAGATGGATGACGATCTCTTGGATCATATTCCCTTGAAGGATATCCATGATTATTTCCATGAGGCTCCCTTTGATGTGCTGATTGTTGATGTGGATGATGATTATTTCGTTGATCGTGGTAAACATCATTTTCTGGCACAGCTGGGTAATTTCCTCCATACTTTTTACGAACATACGGTGGCGGACTGCTTTGTTTCAATGAATTTGATCTTGCTATAGATAAGGAAAGTTCAGAGTTTCCGCGAACAATTGTTTTTAAAGGTTCTATATCATAGTCTGTAATAGTGGATGGATCAACAATTGGACGGGGTCTCTCCTTCTCCACTCCAATAATACCTGCCCACTGGCTAGGTAAACCCACAAATACACCTTGTTCATTATCAAAACCTGTATGCACACGATGTTGGAAATCTGATGGTCCAGATATCTCAATCAAAGGCTTCTTTTTCTTCTTGTTAAACATGTTTAGTTGTTAAAAAAATTTACACACCTAGTTTAATCATCAAAGTTTGACACCAGGAAGATGGCGCCCCCTTGAGTCAGTTGTAGGTCACTCTACCTGGCCCAGATTTCAAATCTAAATATTCAAATTTTTAACCTTTCATTTCACATATCCGTCAGTATTTGATTGTAAAACACTTTGATAAACATGCATAATATCAAATATAATGTTATAATACTCCAAAATGATTTTAAACTGCAAAAATACAACTTATTTGTTACTTCAACAGGTAAGGCTTCTCCAAGTGGAATTTTAGTTGGTGTAAAAGTAAGTCATGGAGTAACGAGGTCACAGACTCTTGATTTATTTTATAAGTTTGTTTTCTGTACCTCTTGCTCTATAGGTTGCGTTTCCGATACAATTTAGATTTTAACAGTTTTATTTAATTTCAGATTTATGGTTTTTGGAGGTATCTATCGTAAGTATATGGTTTGAAGAAAGAAAAGATCCGTTGTTGAAAGAATGTAGTACCATTGTTAAACAGGATTTATAAACTATTCTTGTGTATCGAGGACGCTGAGTGATAGCGATAGCATCGATTTCCAACATTGAGTTTTAGACTTCTATAGCCTATGTCCCGAAATTCTACTTAAACTAAGAGTTTGCAAAGGCTGATTTCCCCACCCATTTCAACTTCAGTACATTGTTATATACACAGTAATTTGCTTTGAACTATATTTCTTGGTTCATACAAGTTTGTGCGCTGTGGTTAAAAAAGCTTATTCCCAAACTTTCTGCACAAAATTTTCTTCTTCAAAACTTCAAGCACACGTTAGCTATTGGACGATATAACGTGAAATACTGGATCAGACAGGAGTAATCTAAATCTGAGTCACATCCGCCTGAAACTCCAAATCTAATGTTTACATGCAAACTAAATTGCCAGGGTGTAATGATTCAAAAGTAGGTCACTAGATTTGACCAATCAAATTGTGAAATTTGTCAGACTATTTAATCGAGGCAAAGGTGTAGGTGGCGTCGTTGTTCATGAACGGATCTGAATAATCATGGCTGACACAAAATTGTACGAAGTTCTTGGGGTGTCTAGAAATGCCTCTGATGGCGAAATTAAGAAGGTAAAACAGTTTCCATTATGCTAAAAATGATATAAATTTAATTGGTGGAGGAAAACATTCATCTCCTGGCCATTATTTCATTATTTTCAGTTTCGAAATCATTCAGAAAAGACACGTGATCGAAGAAATTTTACTGAAAAGTCTTTCTGAGTAACAAAAATGCTTTTTCATTTTTGCCAGACGTAAAACAAAGACGCATATTCTGATGAAATAATAATTATTATGAAACTATTTTAAAGGGTATTTTATATATGTGACAACCCTCTGTCTCTCCTGTTTGACATTATTCATATTGTCATTCTTGATGGTCTTGAAAAACTCGTTTTTTGACATTGAATGAATTGATTTTTATATAACGAAACTAAAAAGGGAAGAATTTTGTCCTCATTCTATTTATAGATATATACTTTTTCCTTTGTTGTTGTTGAATTATATCCTTAGTTCCCCCTCCCTCTTTTTCAGGCTTACTACAGATTAGCCAAGGAATATCACCCTGACAAAAATCCTGAAGCAGGGGAAAGAGTAAGTAGCTGAATTCACTAGGCCTAACAAGGGGTAAATTTATGAGGTAGAATTTTATTTACTTATGAAGAGGTTTCCACTTTCTTGATCCCTCTTTAAACAGCCCCTTACCCCCAAAGATTGGAGAAAAAAAAAACGGATCACAATCATATAAAGTTTCTTTTATCTCTGCCTACTTTTCTTAATCTCTTTACTTGTCGTTGTTAAAAGACAAAGACCAATCAATTTGAAAGACCAATTAAGTAAGTGTTAAATGTTGCAGTTGGACAAGTAACAGCCACCTTTAGTATACAATGATTATCTACCAGTAATCTCTGTAATAATTTAAGGTCATATAACCAGTTTCATTAATGAGCCTTAAGTCAAAATTCTTATATGATAAAGCATATCGTGGGTGACTCCTTGAAACCTTGTATAACAGTATATGACACGAAATTACTTTACACGATATTATTTTGCTACTAATGACCTCATCAAACACTCATTTTATGTAGAATTACAGGAACCACAGAAGTCTGATTGAAAATTGGAAAGGTGGCAATTTATGCTATTATGCTACCTGATACACCAAAATTTTTCAGAAAACCCTCGACAATGCCTTTAAGATATTGAAGTAAGAAACAAGGGAACAAAATGGTAACATATATATATATATATATAAATATATCTTTCAATCCTTTTTTCCAGTTTAAAGAAATCAGCTTTGCTTATGAAATTTTATCCAACTCTGAAAAGAGAGAAATCTACGACAGACATGGTTTACAAGGAATTAAAGAAGGGGCTTCAAGTGGTAAGGGTTATTGTAATATTTAAATGTTATACATATGAATTAAAATTCTAAGAAAACGAAACTTATTGGTGTCCCATAGACTTGCAGCAATATTATTAACTTCTTGTTCTGATAGCAATTAAATATCAATAGCTGAGTGAAACAACTGATGTCTGCTTCTATACAGACAGAAAAATCACATCCACTGTCATTCCCATGGCTCTTCTGTGAAAAATAATTGACATTTGTAATATACTTGAATTGAGGGAGAAAAAGTTGTTTCGTGAATCTTTGTAGTCAACACACTGATTTGAAACATTTTACTTGCAGGTGGATTTGGTGCAGGAATGTTCGATGATATATTTGGTAACTTTTTTGGTTTCCCGGGTATGGGAGGAATGAGTGGTATGGGAGGGGGAGGAAGAAGAGGCAGACGGAGAGGAGAAAATACCATGCATCCGCTCAGGTAAATGGTGATTTATGTTGGTTTAACAATGACAAAGATAAATAGCTTTTCTCTACATTCTGATTGATTACAGTACAATGTTGTCTGAAGATTGCATAGCATGGTACAGCATGTTTCAGGTTTATATTTTTAACTTCAATACCAATGAGATATGCTGTTATGTCTTAAGTAAAGATTCACTAATATTGCTGTGATTTTAACATTTGAGACAACACTGACTTTATGGATAATTTACATGTCCAGAAAGAAAATGAAATAGCCTGGCTTTTAACTTATAAAGCATTACTTATCCATATTTAATTGGTTCTGAATTCTGTAGAGTAACATTAGAAGATCTGTATAATGGTAAAACAGCTAAATTACAACTGAGTAAAACTGTCATATGTAAGAAGTGTAATGGGTGAGTATATTTTGATCATGTTCAGTTATCTTGCTCATAAAATTCGTTTGTGAATGCTGAACCCCCATTTTCATAACTGATTGTGTGAGGATGATGTATCTGCAACAAAGTTGGCGGCATCAGATGAACTCTTTTGAAATGAATGAATATGAAAAAATGTATATTTTAGAAATGTTCTCTGATCGGTTCATACAGACTCTGTTTGCTTTTATTGAAAATATCTGGTAGAGTTTAGAGTACTCTCCTTTTGATTTGATTTTCATTATTTATGCACCAGAATAGGTTAAACCTATCCTATTTGTTAATTTGATATGTTAATTTTACAGTATTGGTGGTAAAGCTGGTTCCACCATTAAATGTCGTGTATGCCAAGGTCGTGGTATTAAGGTCACATTAAGACAGTTAGGACCTGGTATGGTACAACAAATGCAGTCTGTGTGTCCAGATTGTCACGGTGAAGGTGAGTAGACTATATTGTGTTCTTCAGTCACTCGTAGTCCAAAGCAACATCTTCAGAAACATTTAAAAAATGATAAAGTTTCACTATTAGTCTCACTAAAAGAACATTTACATACCTTTCAATAAGTTTGTTTATATTTACAGGTGAAATCATCAATGATAGAGACAGGTGTAAAGAATGTAAAGGTAAGAAAGTCAGTAATGAAACTAAAATATTAGAAGTCCACGTTGATAAAGGAATGAAAGATGGTCAGAAGATAACATTCAGAGGAGAAGGTGATCAACTTGTAAGTTATCATTTGATGTAATTATTCATTGTTCTAGGACCCTGATTTGGTCTTGGTGTAAAATTCTTTTTTTCTGGATATTTTTAGGTGCCTTTGTCAGTTTTATTAATCTGAAATCACTCAATCAAATCAAGTTTTAAGAAACTTAAAGATGTTCTCTGGATATAGATGTATAGGAAAACTTTATCATCAGTTTTCTTGGCTTTAAGAAAATATTTGGACTCATACAGAAGGACAGAAACTAAATGATTTTGTAATTCCTTTATTTAAAAAATGATTCCTGATTATTTCAGCCTGATGTGGAGCCCGGTGATGTAGTAATTGTCCTACAATTAAAGGAACATGAACAGTTTTCTCGTGAAGGTTCCAATTTATGGTTCCGTCAAAAAATTGGTTTAACTGAAGCTTTATGTGGCTTTAGTTTTACATTAAAGCATCTAGATGGTCGTGATTTAGTAATTAGTAATCCACCAGGTGAAATCATCAAACCAGGTAGGTAATTTTAACTGGTATAAAAATATATTAGCAATCGATGACTTACAGTGAAATGTATGTATCAATGAATCAGAAATTCTGTAACAATCTCATTCTCTTGACTCTTGCGTGCCTTTTTGATCAAGTTGATCTGTAAGGTCATTCTAGTTCCTTAATACCGGGTACAATATAATGTTATGAAGGGGTCTGTTTCTAATTTAACCTGAATGAATGGCAGCAAGATTTTCAGGACTCAAGATCAGACAATATTATTGGGAATGTGTGTGCTTTATAAAAACTTGAATTATGAATGTCTTGTTTAAATCAAAAATTGCCATAATTTTCAAAAGTTTCGTCTTAACTCAGATGATGAAAAAGATATTTCAAAATATGAAAGTAAATCACTGCTTAGTTCTGGTACTTGTAGTTCTTTACATGCCTCAATGCTGTCAATACTAATAATTTATAACTTTTCAATTTCCATTCCAGAATTAATCAAAACTGTTCAAGGTGAAGGAATGCCAACCTATAGAAACCCTTTTGATAAGGGTGATTTATTCATTAAATTTGAAGTTGTCTTTCCACAAAATAATTTCATCGCCCCTGAAAAACTCAAGGTAAGCATATTAATTTTATGATACACGTTATTCTTTCGTTGAAATAATCTGGGATTCTCATTGTATTTAACAGACTGACCTTGTATTGACATTGCTGTTTGCACTTTATATATTGTTCTGAAGAGCAAGTTGTAGATCTTAAAATAGAAACAGAATTATCACATTTAATATTTTAGAAATTGGAGAATTTGTTACCTGCTAGACCCAAATATGAAAAACCAACTGGAGAACACGTTGAGGAGGTAGATATGGTACCCTATGACCAGACACGGTCAGCTGGCTCATCGCGTGGTCGTGAAGCATATCATGATGACGATGATGAAGATGATGAAATGCACGGAGGTGGTCCTCGAGTTCAGTGTGCTCATCAATAAAACTAACTTGAGATAGCTGTAAATATTATGTTATAACCGAACAATTTAAATCCTCACAATCAATCTGTATAATCAACACTTTCAATTTGGGTTGTATAGGATATTTTAAAGCTTTTATTTTTCAGAATTTCAGAGTCGCACATTGTGGAACGAAATACACGAGTTTCATTCTAGGGCATCCTTGACTATTTAATTGGTCAATTACCATAATTGTAGATTATCAGCTAATGAGACAACAGAGTTACCTGAATTTGAATTAACAAAATGTTTCATATAAGTTATATTAGATTGCATTCCATCAAATGTAAGTATAACCAAGAGACAGACTACGAAGTCAGTACAATCAACAATAGTTAGCCATATTCTAATCTGTAATTCAACCGTAACTAAGTTTTGTGTCTAAGATTTAATATACCAGTTTTAAATTATTGAGTATGAATTATTCCTCTATGTAGTTATGTGTGATTTCAGCGTATTTTATGTGTGTTTGAGAGAGTGAAACTGTAGGCTTTTTGTTTGTTTAAAATGTGGACTTGGGATGTTCCTTTTTTTGTATATTAATTTCAAATAGTCACTAATAACCATTCTTATTTGCTTGAAATCTTTGAGAAACGCAGAATCAAAATTGCAAGATACTGCCACTGTTGTTTTGGTTCTATAATTTTGAAAGGGATTGGGCTAGTTTAGGTTTCAGAAATAAATAATAGAATGAATTCAATATAAATTGATGCAAATTAGACTCGAGAGACACCAAGGGGCATCAGATATTTCTTCAAATAGACGTGTATTCACTATTCACTGGGTTTATTTTAATTTTAGTAAAATTATTTATTTTATAGTTTGTCATTTTAATTTTCAAATATGAAATATTGATGTAAGAATATAAAACATGAATATTTTCGTCCCATATCTGTGATGTTTTAAAAAAACTCTTTATGTGGTTGTTTATAATGTATAGATCCATCTAAAAGTCCAATAATAAATATATAACAATAAATCTTGATTTTTCCACAGCTTATCCCTCTATCAGTTAAACATGTTCAATGGGCTGACATGGTAAGACTGTCCTGTCCAGGGATGAAAAGGTCCTGTAACAGCCGACACATTCTGGCAAAATTTCCATCATTGCACACTGCATGGTTTTCACAAGCTCATTCAAAAGTATACTTTTGTCAGTGAAGGATTCAGTACTTGTAGTGATGAGATGAGGGTCCATATGTGTGTTCAGAGCCAGTGGGTTTTGGGGCAAAGAAAATTTTCAAAATAAGTCGCAGAGGGTATCATATGGTCCATCTGAACACAAACCTATCTCTCTATTGTGGGATGTGAAATTGTAATATGACAATGATGTATCAAAGAATAGACTTTATTTTCTACTAATGTTCTGAAGGTATGATTAGATGTGTCCAGTTTATGACAATATTCACTTCATGATAAATGGACATCAAAAGAAATGAAATCACAATCTCAAAGTTATAATCAAATAAAATACAAATTAGTGATCAGATTAAAGACAAAATCATTGAGCAAATAGAAGAAGATTTCATGAACAGAAAAAGATCCAATATTATAATACATGTGAAGGAGAAACATCTATTGAAATAAGTTCACTTCGTGAGATCAATATATACAAATTTTCATTTGATCAAAGGCATGTTTGAAGTTTTACAAAGCAATCCTCAATTTCATAGAAAGTATTAGTGAAATTTTAAAACATGAATCATATTTTGATTATTTGATATTGCTTATAATTTCATACAATCAGGGAAGACATACTAATCCAATAAATTATTTAAGGCTATATATAGTAACACCTATGTGAGAAAGTGAAAGTAGTGGTCCCAGGAATTTATCAATGTCTCACTGTTTAACCTCCTGTGGTAATGGTTGTTGGTTGCCTCTACCTTCTGTCATGGCTGCCTCTATTTCTTCAACAGTTCTCGGTACACATGTTAACATTTCCATCCCATCTGCTGTTATAGCTATATCATCTTCAATTCTTACCTAAGATTGATAAATATATAACTTAAAACACACAACAAAATTGGAAAGATCGGAATGGAGATTGGAATGTGTATCACTTGATGTGCAATATACTGTGTTGGATAGATGCTTGCTCTCTAGTTATAGAGGGTTATCCCTGTCATTGGTTCAGTTGGGAGGAACTGACATTATAAAAAAGGAGTCCAGTCATTCAAGCAAGCCATATAAGGCAGATTATCTTACTTACCCCACCAAAACCTCTATACTGATTGATTAAATCCCGATTTATAAAGCGAGCTTGTTCTGGATTATTTAAAGCTTGATCTATCAACTGAAAATAATAATAACGCTGTTTATATTATATGAAGACAAAACAAAATAATGGACAAAGAGTGTCTCCTGAGACCATTTCAAAGTGAATATCACAATTTCATGATAATAAGTTTTCAGCGCCTGTAACTTCCAGGATTGTTGATAAGCACCTGCTCATCAATAATGGCAGAATTGCGTTGAATTTGTTAATCTCTGACACCCAGATTTTGATTGTCTTTTGTTGCAGCTGAGGCTATGATTTACACGTTTTATTGCGGCCAAAAATTGTCAACATACAGACTCACCACATCAATAAAATAACAGCCTGGTTCCACAGTTATCACCATTCTTTTTTCTAAAGTCCTGGCAGTTCTTAATGATCTTAATCCAGCACCTTCAGGTCTTTGGACACCCTATTAATTGTAAGAATAGTTCTTATAGATATGAATAGACATAATACAAGATGATAGTTTTTACAGATCCACTGGAGGGAAGGAAGAGTGAATATTATACTCACAATTATACAGTATCAGTATTATCTCCAGAAGCTAGAAAAGATTACATATACTCAATTCACATTACCTCTGGATAGCCACCAACATCATGTGTATCTACCCCCATAAAATGTCCAAGTCCATGAGGCATAAACACAGCCCCTAATCTAACTGCCATCATTTCTTCTATATCTCCATTAACTATTCCTATCTCTTTTAATGCTTCCAGTTCACTTCTCTCGGCTAGTTTATGCATATCTACCCAGGAAACTCCTACAATGGAACATAACAAGGCGTTTATTTGCATGTATGGTCAACAGTTTTTACCCTAAAAAGACTTGCCAAACTGGGGGTGTATATCATAGACAATGACAACAAAATTAGGGGGTATACATGCATGAGCATTATATTCATAATTATATGAAAATATATGCCCTGGAAAATTGTGCTTGACTTGAAATCAAAGATACTTGTATAATCATAGCCAACCTGGTTTAGCAGCATTGATAACAGCTTGACTAGCTTTTAATACAGCTTCATATATGCCTTTCTGTTTCTGGGTAAATTTACCATTAGCTGGGAATGAACAGGTTATATCAGACGTATAACAATAGTATTCACCTCCCATATCAAATAAACTGAAATATAACATTGTAGTTATGCCTGCAATATAATCAGAGAACTGGTAAGAGATTAATTCTTTGATTAAACCTTTTCTATGTAGGATTTTTAGTGATATAGATACTACAGATCACTACTGCTAATTGATGGATTGTACATCGAATCATGTCCTTGCAAAATTTCTGAAAATTAATTGGTGTTCTTTGAGGATAAAATGGTGGTCAGTAAAATATTTTTGCCTTGCATTACTAATGTACAACTGGCAAACAACACAAAACAACAAAGACTCTTTAATAGCTCAAACTGCCATCATTAAGAAACCCATGTCGTATATCAAAATAAAAACTCACCACATATCACCATCTTGTATTTGTTTAGCATTAGGTGCTCCAGCGTGTCCATAATGTAATACAGAACCATTATCTCCACTGAAATTAAATTTCAACTTATTAAATATCAATTAACTTTGACTTTTTTATGCTAAAAAAAAGTTTTGCACTAAAAAAATTCTCATTTGCAGTAGGCAACGATTCCGTAACGTAGGCAAATTGGATTTGTTTCACTATAGCAAACCTTTGAGCTATTATTAGCAGCTATAGCAATAGTGACAATACACATAAAAAATTACGAAGACCTCTTTACCTTATTTAAAACTGATCAGTATAATTCAAAGGATGAATGCCACCAAACAGTTGATATTTATTTAAAAGGAGTTATTAAGTACTATACCTGCCACAGATACAAGTATAAGACATTTTTCTGGAACCTCCGTTTGAATAACAATAATGACCAAACAAACTGAAGAATATAAAATAAAACAATATCATACCTTCCACATACACAAACATAAGATAATTTTCTAAATCCACCATTGAAATAACAATAATGTCCATACAAACTGAAGTGAAATAATTTACTATAGAACATTCAGATCAAACTTCCAAAGCCTGTGGACAATTCTTTATTAATTTAACCATTTTTTTCTTATATTTATCACATGGTGTTGACATGGCATCTGCTGTACAAGAAAAATGCTTTTGAAAAATGCTGAGA